TTATTAATGATTACTTAATTATCATGTAAAATAGAAAGTGCGCATCTAATAGGGACGGAAGGAGTACTGAATAAATCCTCTAGTGTTTAATACTCCTTATGTCCCAATTTATCTGACATTTTTCAAAAGTCAAACAATTTAAGTTTGACTAGAAATACGCGCGTGGAATCTTTAGTTTTTTTGAAATGAAATTTATATACTTGTAAAGTACGTAAAAAGTACTATAAGTCACAATAATTGACAATTCAAAATAATTAAAAGATATATGAAAATTTACAGTCAAAGATATATTTGTTTGAATCTCGAAATTCGAAAAGTGTAACACAAATTAGGACGGAGGGAATAATAAAAATCAATATAAATAAAAATAAATATTTATTTTAATATAGTGAATAGTTAAAAGATGGACGAAGGGACTTCTTTGATTATTATAATTTGAGTTTCTTATTTCATTTTTCTTTCATTCTTCAGTGTAAAAATAAGAGAAAGAAAAAAGTGTACATGAAAAAAAAAAGAGAAATTTTTTTATAAACTAACTATTTCCTCCATCCAACAATAGTTGTTCATTATACTATTTTGGGATGTCCAACAATAGTTGTCCACTTTATGTAACAACTCCAATTTCACAATAGAAACATTCAAATATTATAATCACTAAACTCGAAGTTACAATGAAAAATGGAACTAACAAAGAAAACTATTGTAGAAGATAACTAGAAGGGAGATGAGCAGCATAGACTCAAAGAAAGAGGATGAGAGGACTAGACATTTTTCTCAACAATTTGCATAATCCCTAAACCACATACCACTACCCTTTTTGATAGAACTGTTCCCACACCACTACTTTCGTGACTCTGATATCTACATTAGGCTAGACTTGGCTCATAACAATACTCTCGTCCTCAATAAGAACCTTGTCCTCAAGGTTCGAGTCCAGAACAATGTTAGTAGCGCACTCCCTACCAATTGTAGCCAAGACCAATTGTGCAATATTGTCAGAATATAGTATGTTATCTTTTATACTTCCTGCAACAACCACCAACCTGAAAACAATATAAAATACGATCTGCTCATTACCAAATCCCCCAAGTGCAAACAAGCTTTTTTCATACACAATTGTAGTGTAAACTTTAGCACCCATAAATTGTATAGCAAATGTAACAAAAGTTGAATACTTGAAAGGAGAGCACATGACCAACGAAGCAACCAAGCCACTGATATGTGCCATATCCGCCAAGAGAGAAACTTTTTGCTTGCTACATACTTTGCACGGACGTGCATAATCATATCGACGAGCATAAGCACTTGCATTAGTAGCAATTAACATTGGTCTAAACAATGTGCCATATTTCTCTAGTTGCTTGTAGTCGCGATAATCCGTGCTCGCATCCAAACTAACAAGATTGAGTGCTAAAAAAAGCTCCAATAAATTAATGAATTGTTCAGACGCAGCAGTGCCTAGATATTTCCGCCTTAGACCACAAACCTGTTCACCCCACAATGTAACTACAGGATCAAATGGATGATTTGCAAATGTGACAAAAACAACGAAACTTGGTAAGGAATAAGAAACATGTTGGAGAGTCATGTAACATTCAAAACTGTCGTTTGGCGAAAGGCTGTATAGAGCTTTCGTGAGAATATTGCACACAAAATAAGAAGGAGAACTCAACGCCATCCATTTGTTTTGCCTCCTCAATTGGTACTCTAAAATTCGGCACAAAATTTTTGCTGACACAATAAATTCGGAGATTTCCACCTTGTCATCGCAAGAGTGAAGTTCTTTTACTATAATGCTACACTTATACGCCATACAAAAATAATCAAGATGATCCCAAATAAGCTCAGTTACCTATAAATATCTTTCAAAATACGTGGCGTTAAAGGTTTCAATACCCATTTCAACTCCACCTAACTGCTCCCAATTTGATAACTTTGCAAATAAATGTCTCCAATTGTTTTTAATTGCTCAAATACTATTAACATATGCACACCGTCTGTAGAAACTGTGATAGCCAAGAACTTGAACTAGTTCCTGGATCCCAATTAGAAATAATTGATTCATTATCAATTAGAGATTTAACAGGTTTGACAGTGGGACGAATGTAAAAAACTAACCCAAAAAGTTGAAAATGTGTTTATCACGAGTGAGAGATTGAATAAAAATGTCGCAGGGTGCAATTGATGAACTTGGAGGCGTCCTCTGGTTACAATGAACACATTCGCACCAGGATCATAAGGGAATTGATCTAAAGTATATTGATCACTGATCGTGAAATTGAAATGACTGACAAATATTTTAATGATCTCCTTGAAATCATCCACAACCATTAAAGGATAACAATTTGCAGATCCAAGAAATGTGGTAAGCATACCAGAACCAGGATCAAATGGAAATTCTAATTTAAATTGAGCAGGTGGAAATCGATACAAGGATAATGAAAGTTTAGAAGGATTGAGTTCACTTAAATAAGCAAAGGAACTATTGTCTGAGATTATACAAGGGAGTGCAAACAACATTTCGTCAAACTTGACAACGTTATTGGAATCACACCTAACTGTGGAAATTGTGTGAAACCTTTCATCGAACACATGTGTTTCAAGTTTGACTACATCATTCTGTATTGAATCAACAACTTCCATGTCAATATCCCTATCAGGTATTCCAGCGAACATTTTGTCGGTGGCTCCTTTAATGTTCCACCAGTCACCTCCTCTAGTGTTTCATCGTTCAAATCAAATAGGAGGTTAGATAAAAGAACCTATGTTTGTTTTTGGACAACACAAGCCTGAAGTGAGGGTTGAATGCACTCATCAACAATGTTTGAATCAGAGGCCACTAAATCCTTAAAGACGGGAGATGAATCATCAAAAGACAAGGCACGATCCCCGTTATTGTCGTAAGATGAGTCCACATCTAGAGGCACCGGATCTGGTATGATCGACTGGGAGTAAGAGGATAATGCACGTTGGACATTGTCGAGTTTGCAGAGTATATATGAGAAGTTCTCGTCTAACTTTCGCATCATATCAAGGGTGTTGACAGTGTCATTGATCCTGTTGAAGTCATTGGCAAAATGCAGGGCTAATTTCTTGGTGAAATGTTTACAGTCAAAAAATTGATTGTTGTGATATAACCATTGAAACTAATCATAAGCAGCAACATCGAGATAAAAATGAGAAAGAGGTAGCCATTCCTTTTCCGAGAAACCAAGATATGTGAAATACAGATCCGCCCTAAAAATCCACCCAGTTGGATTGCCACCGCTAAATTGATCAAGTACCATCAATGTTATTGGAGTACGATCGAATGAAAGCACCAATGTAACAACTCCAATTTCACAATAGAAACATTCAAATATTATAATCACTAAACACGAAGTTACAATGAAAAATGGAACTAACAAAGAAACTTATTGTAGAATATAACTAGAAGGGAGATGAAAAACATAGACTCAAAGAAAGGGGATGAGAGGACTAGACATTTTTCTCAACAATTTGCATAATCCCTAAATCACATACCACTACCCTTTTTGATGGAACCGTTCCCACACTCGCTTCTCAACTCGGATCCCAAATTAACCAGGCCCTTTTGTTTGTTCTCGGCCCAATAACACTTGCCAGCCCAATAACTACTTTTGTGACTCTGGTATCCACATTGGGCTGGACTTGGTTCATAACACTTTATGAAATGAATGAATAATTTCACACTTAGTTCCTAATTAGTTCCTAATTTACCCTTATTATTAATTATGTTCATTTTCCTATTACATTTTTAAGACATTGTATTTATTATATTCAAAAGGTGATATAGTAAAATTACCCTTCTATTTATAGTTTCTTAAGAAATGTGCAAAGTCAATAATGAACAAGTATTATTAGACAGAGGGAGTCTATTGTAATTTAGTTTTTATATATGTAAAAAATTTACGGCATTTATAGAAAATTTTACAAGAAAATAAGTGGAAAAATAAATTTGACCATCAAAATAAAAAATTCAAATTATTTGAATTTAAAAAAGGTAAAAAATTTGACAAAAAGGAGTAAGTGCCCGTTTGGATTGACTTATTTTAGGTGCTTTTAAGCCAAAATAGCTTTTAAGCAGTTTTGAAGTGTTTGGGTAAAGTTAAAATGTGCTTATAAGCACTTATTTTAAAGCCAAAATAACAAAAATAAGCCAAAAGCCACAAGTTAGAAATCCTAACTTATGGCTTTTGGCTTACAAGTCATAAGCCAAAAGCCAATCCAAACAGGCCTAAGAAAGTAGAAAAGTCAGTCCTCTTTCCTTGGAAGCGACCGGACAAGATGATTTTTCCAGTCTTCCCCGATGTCTCCTGCAAATTCCAAAATTACCCCTCTCCTTTGTGTAAATATTACGGTGTGTTTGGTATGAATGAAAATGTTTTCTTGGGAAAAAATGAATATATAACTTATTTTCTCATGTTTGATTGGTGAGTAGAGAATATTTTTTTAATGTTTGGATTGGTGAATGGAGAATATTTTGATGGGTGGCTTGGGTGGGGGGTTTCGGGGTAGGGGTAAATATATATTTGAAATTTAAAAAATGAAAATTTAAAAATGTTTATTATTTTTTTGGATAGGGTGGGTCGGGTTGTACGGAGTAGGATAAGAAAAAAATAATTAAAGAATGAAGTAAAATTTTAAAAAATATTTTCCTTAATTTTTGAAGAAAAATCATTTTCCTTAAATTTGAGGAAAATGAATTGATTTTTCAAAACATTTAAGTTAATCAAACATAATACCAACGTCATTCATCTATGAAAGTGACAAGCACCATGTGAACAATCACTTTTCTGCCATGTCATCAACTATTACAAAAAATCCACAAATCCAAAATCCCACGTGACCACAAAATCAATTAATGTAATTTGAAGATGCCAGCTAAGCTAAATTCAAACGCGTGTACGATAAGCGTACTCATCTTCATTCCCCGACTATATAAAACCAAATAACTTAGAAAAACCATGTGAACACCAAAGACCAAAATTTTCTCAGCTTTTTCAAATTTTCAACAATGCAGAGGTCAACTAAACTCACTGATGAACAAGAGTTTTCAATCATGGTTAATGCTTTAACCAATGTGATTACAGGTACTACCCATACTTTTCCTGTCACTCCCAGTGCCACTATTTCATTACCTTCTACGAGTATGTCTTATTCTATTGAGCCGCCCCAGTTTCATGTTGCGATAGAACCAGAGCGTTGTCAATTCTGCAAAATAAATGGTTGTTTAGGCTGCAATTATTTTGCAACCTCATCAGCCGCGGCTGGTGTTAACAACTACAATACATTAAACATTGTTGCGAAGAAGAAGAATTACAGAGGAGTGAGGCAGAGACCACGGGGAAAATGGGCTGCGGAAATTAGAGACCCGAGAAGGGCAGCCAGAGTATGGCTTGGAACATTTACTACAGCAGAAGATGCAGCTAGAGCTTATGACAGAGCAGCTATTGAATTTAGAGGTCCAAGAGCTAAACGTTAATTTCTCATTTTGCAGATTACACATCAATTCAACAACACAACAATACACCCCTGCAAGTGCAACAACAACAATCACCGCCCTCGCCCTCGCCCTCGCAGTTACAAAAGGGAATGAACACAGAAGAAGAGTTCTGGGATGAATTGATGAATTCGGACAATGAAATTCAACATTACTTTAATGGAGAATCTTCTAATTCTGCCAATGCCTATATTGCTCATAGCTTCTGATCATTTCCTATTTTATAGCGAATACGACGCATATTGCATGCCCATTTAGTTTCGATAGTATCAAATTAAATTTGCTTTTCAATTAAGATAGTATGATAAATACTTAGGCACAAAATATTACATATGTGGCCTGAGAAAACTGAGGGAGAAATCACCTGATGATTTTGATGGTAGCTTGCCTACCAACTTCAAGGAATATATATACATTTTTAATTAATAAAGAAACGTGCATACATTAAAGTTAAATATTAGAAGTATATTTGATATATTGACAAACAATGTTCACCCCGGGAGGAGTAACAAGGTCTGCCATTCAGAACTTACTTTATTATATCAATTTATCAATTTGACTAGTATTTAGGATTTGGATGACTTGGACTACCTCTAGTAGTTACCTTTAAAAGGCACACAATATCATATTTGTTATTGTATTATTAGGCATTTGGCCATGCGATTTCACCTCATGATATGAAATTATGACGTGAAAATAGCATTTGGATATGCGATTTCACGCTGATTTCATATCAGGAGATGAAATTCAAAATTCTCCAAAAATCATGATTTGAGAATTTCAAATCATGATCTGAGATTTTTCAAATACAAAAATTGACCCACAAGTTTATATTTACAATAAATAATAACTTTTAAATTAGGATAGAATTAATTAATTCTTTTCCATTTTACCCCTACAATTAATATGACCATTCCTATATTGTATGTGTATTTTTTGTAACTCATTTGAATGTGCATTGATATAAAGAAAGGGCAAAATGGTGAAGTCTTCCAATGTATTAATGATTTCTTAATCACCGTGTAAAGTTGGAAGTGCCCATCTAATATGGGACGGAGGGAGTATAGTTTATGTATTGTTATAAAATTAGTAAAGATTGTTATAATATATTTTGCTCATAAGTGAGCTAATATAGAAACTTATTTGTCATTTGTCTTTTTAATTTCAATTTTAAATAGCAAATAAATGTAGCGATAAGATTGAGGGTAGAAATGAAGCATATCTTTCTAAATTTAAGTAAAAATAAACAGAGTAGAAGTAACATTAGGGTTATCGATAGGACGATTCATTCGGTTATTTTAAAAAAAATTATATCATTCAATTTTTCGGCTATTTTATAATGTATAACCAAAATTAAAATTTTAAAATCATCCCAATCCTAATATATGTGACACAAGCAGTACAAAAATTAGTCTTTTTTTTGTTGTCTTGTAGATATTTTAAGTTATTATTTATTGTAAATTATAGTACTTTTTATTAAAGTTTTTAATAACATATGTTACTTTTTATGTTTGAGAGTTAAACCAACTTTTTTTTTTATATGTGTTTTAATTTTATATGTGTTTTGTCCTTTTCCATTTTCAAAAACTAATACTCTCTCCATTTCATTTTATATGTCATTTATTTTTATAAATATATTGGTTATTCCCTCTTCTTATGTCATATATTATGAAATTTGAGAAGTTATTGAAATTTTTATATGATTCTAAAAATATTTTAAATTGTTAGCTATTGTGATTTGTAGTACCTTTTTTTACAGAATTTTGAAAATAATATTTATTACTCTCTTTGTTCTAATTTATGTGGCACATGCAAAATTTCAAATATTAAATATTTTTTATATGTCTCTTTATTATATTAAGTTGTTAATTATTGTATTTTATAGTACATTTTGAACTTAATTTTTAAAGAATATATGTTATTTCCCATGTCCCAATTTATGTGGCATTAATTGATAGATTTGTTGGAGTCGAGGGAAATTTTTTGTTAATTATTGTAATTTATAGTTTCTTTTTCGTCAATTTCAAACAATATACGTTTATCATATAATCCATTTTATGTGGTACCAATAGAATTTAGAGAGTCAATTATATTTTTTATATAACTTTTAAATATTTAAGCTATTAATTATTGTAATGTATAGTATTACTTATATTATTTTTAAATATATTTAAATCTACTACTTATATAAAAAAAATTTAGTAGATAAGTGTGAATGTGAGGGTATTTTGAAATACCCAAAATACCCTCACCTTGAGACTTATGTTCAACCCTCTCCTTTTTTTTGGTGCCATGTGTCAAAAGAAGAGTGAATTTTATTCACTCTTCTTATATAGTAATATTTTCCTAGTATGGTTAAACTTTAGATTTAGTTTTATATTAACATATTTTCCTATTATGGTTAAACTTTAGATTTAGTTCTATATTAACATATTTTCCTATTATGGTTAAATTTTAGATTACTTTTATATTAACATTTTTTAATTATGATTAAATTTAAGATTTATTTTTGTTAATGCAAATGGAAAGTTTTATTTGCTTCTTACACAAAAAATTTCTAACTACAAGTTGATAAATTATAAAATTGATTTCACTTACTAATTTTCTCTATGATGAAGATATTATTTTTATTTATAATAGAAATGTAATTATGTGTTGTTTTGATAAAAAATTTAACGTATATAAATAGTCGTGATATCGTCTTCTCATAAGTATACTTTACTAAAAACATTTCATAAATCGTTTTTTTTTATCAATTAGCCATGGAGAATAAGAAGACTAAAGGACGTCAAAAGATACCAATGAGAAAAATAGAAAGTAAAAAAGCCCTGTTTACTTCATTTTCAAAGCGTCTTGGGGGTTTGTTCAAAACAACTAGTGAACTCGTTACAGAATTTGATGTTGACATTGGAATAATAGTGTTTTCTCCTACTGGTAAGCCTCATTCATTTTTTCACCCTACCGTTGATGCAGTCGTTTCTCGTTTTCAGAATCCTGATATGCAGTTAAGTGATGACACTCACCTAGCCATGGTTTTTGCTCAAAATTCGGTGAATCAACTCAAAGAAAAGCTTGAAGAACTTGACATCAAAGAAAAAACTGAAATTGCTCGAACAAATTATTTTGACCAATTGACAAAATCTAGACAGAAAGGTTGGTGGGAGTCAATTGAGCAACTTAATGAAGATGAAGTGTCAAAGTTTGAAGCATGGTTAAATGTTGCTAGTTTTACTATGCACTACCGTTTGAACCAATTAATTGTTTCATTCTCATTGGGATGTGAATCTTGTGGAGTGTGAAGTTTGAATAAAATCGCAGATAAGTCATCTTAGGTTATCAAATTTAGGTTCATGGTTCAGGTTCAAGCTTTAGGATTTAGGGTTTAGGGTTTAGAGTTCAGAGTCAAGTCAGGGTCGGGGTCAGTATTCAGGGTCAGGATCAACGTCAGAGTTCAAGATTAAGGGTTCATGTTCAAGGTTAGGGTTCAAAGTTTAGGGTTTAGGGTCTTAGAAAGTTTAAATTTATATTATTGAGATGTTGAGTTCTTGTTTTGCCTTTTATTTTATTTTAATAATGCTACAATCATGTATGTTGCTATGATTTTCATTAATAATATTTTATCTAGTTATTAATATTATTTTCTCATTTAATTAAACAAATATTCAGATCACTTTTCGATTTTAGCTTGTAAAGATTATTTTTTCAAATTCAACTCAAATGTTGTCAAACCTTATCATATGCATTATTATAACTAAATCAAAAAATTTAATTTGGAAAACTTCATCTTGCATTCCCAACATGTGTTTTCACTGTCAACATTCATGTTTAAACCTCTCATTTTTCATGATATCAATAAGAAAAATTAATTTTCTTCCAATGTAGTTGGTATGACTATTAGGACGTTCGAAGTGTTGCATCAGATGGAGCTCAAGGCGTTGGCACAACTTTGTCGACCTTCTTTTCACTATTCGTAAGAAACTACTTTAAGAAGCTGAAGGTTGACATAAATATTTTAAGTTGTTTGTACCTTTTTACATAATTTTAAAAATAATATATAATACTCTCTTTTTTCCAATTTAAATTGGAACAAAGAGAGTATTATATATTATTTTTAAAATTATGTAAAAAAATACTAACAATTTAAAATATTTTTAAAATAAAAAAAATTTGAATAACTTCTCAAGTTTCATGATATCACAAAAACTAAAATAAAAAATTAACATATGTTGGGCCTTGTGCTGGCATGGGATCCTGTATCTTTTAGTAGAAAGAAAATTTCGAACGTTCTTTCCTTCTTCTTCTTTATTTTTCCTTCTTTCTTTTCATCTTATTTTTAAAAAAATATTAACTAACTATAATATTTAATTAATTTTTTTTTTTTAGATTTTCTTTCGTTTAGAAAACTTGTTCTTGAATGTCTGACCATCCAAAATTCACATGCCATGATGACAATTGGCACCTATATTCCCAACCGATAGGTAAGTCAACCCACTAGTTTTACCAATTTAACTAAATAATCAAGGTGAAAATATAAATAACAGATAGAAAACCTCAAATACTAAGTCTTTCATAAGTATGAACTGCGAAAAACTAACTTACAACCCAAGATTTTGGTGTCATAAGTACAAGAGGTTCTAAAGTATGGTGCAAGTCTGAAACTAAAATGAAAAGTCTAAACGTAAAAAATATCCTTTCTGAATACTAAAGCAACATAATAAATAATAAGATAGAGGGAGGTTTGGGCTATGGAACAGCCAAGTAGCTCACCACAATTCCAAGATAATCCAAACCCGGACTCAGAAAGCTCCACGAGATATGCTTGTGTTCGGAATCAAATTTGCACCACAAAAGAGTGCAACAAGTGTAATATGAGTATGAAACCACGTGTACCCAATATATCTCATAGACCGACAACGAAGAAGTAGTGACAAGAGAACATATAAAAAAATCGTGCTTTAACTTGTATAAGTTTACATTATACTTATCAGTAAAGTTTCATCAAACAGGGACAATCAAATGTCACGCAATGTCCAACAACCAATAAAACACATAATCATCAAGAATGAAGGATGTAATGAGATGCAATGCAATGTGACACCATGAAATGATATGCGTAGACGCCAAGTACTCTCTAAACCGTATATACATGATACTCTTCAGAAATACATCGAGAGCTCATGACCCATGGGGGGCTCGCGATGTCCACATCCTGACACGAACGATGTCCATGTGTCTGTGCGGACGATCTGAACGCACTATAAAATAAAATAATTTCTGCACGGATGATCTCC